AAAAAAACCCGGGGGGCGGGGTGTGAGAAGATATAACAACTACAATCCTTTGAAGGTGTTACAACAAGCAAACGGAAAGGACATTGTTGGGTGGGAGGGGGGAGAGGGAGGTTTCGGTGATGGGCTATAATAATCAACCACATTGTATATCGACAAAATAAAAATTAAAAAAAAAAATTACGTAGCACAGAATGGGATGTAAGTTGTTACCTTGAAATAATGTAGAATTCTTTTTCATTAAGAATCAGAGGTTAAATCACTGCTTAGCAAATTTGACAATTGGTAGCTCCAAGTAATCATAAGGAAGACAAATTTTAAAAGACAATGTTTCTCAAAAGAATCGATAAAAAGCTACGATTAAATACATTATGCATTACCTATTTTTTTCACAACAGAAACTACAAATCCTATTAGGTCCACCTCAGAACAAGGTGGCTGAAAGTCGGGATCTAATAATCTGATGAAGTGAAGGGGCTCCCTTGGCTGGTAAACCTGGAATAAGATTTCATCTGAAGCCTACAGAAAACAAAACAAAACAAGTATTCAGTATATGGAGATTCTATAAACTACTAAGAACTTATCAAAATTGAAAAACTAATGAAAGGTTTGTACCGGTAGTTGTTGATATTGAGTTTTTCTTGTTGCTGATAACTGTATGTTAGCTCTTCCAGATTTACTTTTAGGTTTTGATGTTGCAAGATGATAGATTCTGTATCTCTTTCCCTCTGTTAACAGGGAATATAGATCTGATGATGGATGCCAGATACTCAATATAACTGCTTAGAGAAAAATGGAAAAGACACAATAGGAAAAACTAAAAATCAAAATTCTCATGTAAAAAAATACAGATAACAAAAAGAATACAGATAACAATAAAAATTATATCATCACTTTGTAGGCACTAATAGCCCGTTTTGCTCCTCTGCTCACTCTAACTTTATACTTTATCTAGCATTTGTAATCATTTTATTAATAAGATCTTTTTTTAACTTAACAAAACTGATAAAAACAAAGAATATGCATACTGACCTGAATCTTTTTCTTTTTTATCATAGCTTATAATACGCAACTTCCACACAGTTGTAACATCCCTTGATAGACTTTGTTCTGCAGACTCCATGGCCTTCCTGAATTCCAACTGGATCTGTGCTTGTTTCTTATCATTCAACATTTGTCTGTGTTTATTCAAGGCTCTTAACTGCTCTTCACTGAAGTAACCCTGTGACCATTTAAAATATTGGAATAAAGAGCAAACCAAACAAAAAGTCCCGTTTGTAACTGGATCACTTTAAATGGGAATAAAATACAACGGAAATAAGTTCATTTTAAGGGTATGGATTAATGTATTCAGTTTATCACATGATATTCTCAGGTGCCTCAAAATGCTTGCTAATCCTTGTGAAAAATTTCCCTAGGGCAATTATAAATGTGCTCTAATAATCATCACTGTCTACATTATTTTTTTATTTTTCCTTTTTGTCTTTTTTCGTGACCAGCAACGGATCGCAACCCTCAGTGTCGCGCCTGTACCAGACCGGGACCGGCAACTGGATCGCAACCCTCGGCGCTGCCCCCGCACCTCGCTCAGCCAGTGAGCGGCCGGTCTGTATGTGGGATCCGAACCCTCGGCGGGAGCGCCGCCGCGCTTCCAAGCGGCGCACTGTAGCAGTGCGCCACCGGGCCGGCCCATCACTGTCTACATTATAAATGGCTTTCTGAGAAATGGATCTATGTGTGGTAAGTGTATGAATTAATTTAATCCTCAAAATAATTTTATGAGGTAGGTACTATTATCGTTTCCATGTTATAGATGATGAAACTGAGGTGCAGAGAAAATAAATACCTTCCACAGACCATGCAGGTAGAGGCTGGCTTAAGAACCCTCATCTCAGCCCCTGCAGTATAATTTCACCAACTTTTTGGAACTGCGGGTGTAATGTGCCATACGCACTTCGATCTTTGTCTGTGTACTTCTCACCCACTCACTTCAGCAAATTGCTGCCTGCACCTCTTGGGAATCTTATCCAGTGTAACACAGATAAATGAATTAATAAATAAACAAATAAAACAAAATAGGAAATGGAATTTAGAGAGACAACATACTAGACTGCTGTTTCCTTATACATCTTAATGTCCTAATGTTTACTGGGAAGGGAGACTATTAAATCTCTGTACCCTACAAAGGTCTTTCTAAATATGTAGACAGTGTTTAATTTAAACATGAGTTTTTTTTTTAAACCAGTGATTTCGGAATACCTATAACATTCAACATCGTCAGTAAAAAAAAATTTTTTTTAAAAGGGTTATTTTAGAAATTGATGGCTATTTTCCCCTCCAAGAATTATAGTGATAATTTTATCTAAGTCAAATCTCATAGAATCTTATTCACTTAGAGCCTTTGAGATAACCTACTCTTAGGTTTTCCCTTGATAGAAGGTAGGAATGAGTTCCTCAGATAAATCACCTGTCCAGCTACAGAGTGGCAGGGCCAGGTCTAGAACTTCAGTTCTCCAACTCTCATTCTGCCCCCTTATTTCTTTCTTATATTAATATCAGTGCATTCTTTAAAAGGAAACCAGACTAATAAAAATTTTGCTAAATTTTGTGATGAAATTAAAACTATCTTCAAGATGATTCATAGAATGTACAAGCTTCAACAAATGTAATAATATTAGAGAGACAGAGGCAAATAAAATAAGTTTTCAAGAAAGCATAATAATAAAACTTTCACTTATAGACTTGCAACAAGAATACTTACCAGCTTTAAAACTGGACTCACTTTTTACAGGAAGAACCTAAGTTGTAACATTTGAGAACATGGGGAATTCTACTCAGAATAGCACTGCTCGACTCCTGGTCAAGATGGCGGAATAGATGGTCTCCAGCATCACTCTCTCCCCCAAATCAACTAATTTATAACTATAAAAAAGCAATGACGGCCAAGCTGGGGATGCTAGAGCTCAGGGGAAGAGGAGGGGAGACCTACAGAGTGTATGAAGGTGGGAGAAGCCACAATGAGAGAAAGAAAAAACCACTCTGTTTTGAGCCCCAGCCACTTCCAGGCTGGAGCTGCTGAGAGCATGGTACAGGAACTGACAAAAGCCGCAGCTGTGCCCTTCCTATGAAGTTGCTTGGAGGCAGCAAGGGAAGAGGGCCCTGGTGGCCTCCAGGCCAACAAGACCACTAATAGTGTTCCTGTGGACCCGCATAGGAACAAGAAGCCACAACAACTGAAAAAAAGGGAGCCATTCAGAGGCCAGTGAGTCATCGCAAGGGACCCCCACATGGCCTGTCCCATAAGAAGTGTTTACAGCACAGGTGGCAGGGGAGACGGGTCCACCAGGGGAACACTGGGACATAGCAAGGACAGCTGATCTATACCCCAATCAGCAAGGACTACTCAGAGGAGACTGGTCAGGAATACAGAAGTGCATGGGGGGCAGTTTGATGAGAAGACTCAGGCCTAGACCAGAGTTTCTACACAGCCCAGATGCACTGAATCTCTTGAGAGTGGAAGTACCTACAAAGTCAACCATTAAAACCTGTGCTGCACAAAAAGCCTTCCCTAGGGAAGCAGCAGCAATGCAGCAATTAAGCTAAACCACACAGCTCAAGTACTGGTCCCCACAGGAAGTTCCCCCATTTTAGAAGTAGGCAAAGGACAACAAATTAGTTCCAGTTCAGAGTTTAAGTGGTGGGAATAGCAAATAATCCAAAACAGAATTGAAAGAAAAAACAAAGTACCTGCAACCAGAGACAAAGTTTCATATTAACTAGTAAAGGTCCCACTTCCCCAAAGAACCCCTAAAACACCTAGAAAGACTGGAAGTCCCCTGGGCTACCAAGCCAGAAAGGGGGAAGGGCCGGGGGCCTCAGCAATGCCCCCCTGACACCCCCAACCAATCCTGAGGGTGGGGGATGAGAGCCTTGGCCATGGCCCCCCAACACACACAGCCAGCCCAGTGGCGACCACCAAGCCACTGCAGGAAACACCCTGGGCTCTACCAAGCTGGGGCAGTGGGGGGCCGAGGGCTTCAGCCACGTGCCCCCTGACATGTGCAAACAGCCCAGCGACGATCACCAAGCTGCAGCAAGAAGGGCCCTGGGCTCTCCCAAGCTGGGGTGGTGGGGGCCTCAGGACTCGACCACGCCACCCTGACAAGTGCAATCAGCCCAGCAACGACCACCAAGCTGCAACAAGAAGGGCCCTGGGTTCCCAAACTGGGATGGTTGGGGGTGAGGGCTTTTGCCACACCCCCCTGACATCTGTACCCAGCCCAGCAATGACCAAGCCACCACTGGAAGCCCCTCGATCTTCCCTGTGGGAATGTGGGGGGTACCACGGGCTTCAATCCCACCCCTCCCCCTTCCTCCTTCTTCCATCCTATTTCCTTCCCCTTTCGCCAGTTCCCCTCCCTCCCAGCTGCTCCAAGACAACATCCTAGAATGTAAAAAATAATAATAAAATTTTTAAAAAGCACCGCTCATATTACTGATGAAGTATTATTATTATTATTATTATTATTTTTTTTTTTGTCTTTTGTCTTTTTCCGTGTCCGGCAACGGATCGCAACCCTCAGTGTTGCCCCCGTACCGGACCGGGGACCGGCAACGGGATTGCAACCCTCGGTGTTGCTCCCGCGCCTTGCTCAGCCAGTGAGCAGGAACTGGTCTGTATGTGGGATCCGAACCCTCGGGCAGGAGCGCCGCCGCACTTCCCAAGCGGCGCACTTATCCAGTGCGCCACTGGGCCGGCCCCATGAAGTATTATTTTGTAGCACCACTATTTAAGAAAGTTAAAGCTATATTCACAAGATTTATTAAGTCATCAAGTAAATGAAGTTAATCTATAAACAATCCGTAGTTTTCCTAAAGTATTTTCCTCCTCCTCCCTATCCTATAATCCTAGAATTTGCATTAATTATTCTTCAGTTTGGGGGGGCAGCTGGCTGGTATAGGATATTAATTATTTTATCCAGAAGTCTAAAAATTCAGTTTACGAGCTAGCTTATCTTAATATATAAAATGATGTTCTAACAACAGTAACTTACATTTATATGGAACTTTTACATGCATTATCTAATTTGATCTTAAAACAATGTATTTTATACCCATTTTATAGCTGTTTGATTCCCATTTGTTTAGCTCATAAATGGTAGAGCCATGATTCTAAAGCCTATGCTATTCCTAATATGGTTTACTGAAACTTCTGAAACTTTTCTTCCTAAGTACCTGTTAAGATAAAAGATTATGAAAGAGTAGTACCTGAGAAAGAGATGGGAACATGGAAATTAAGACATTATTTTTAAGATAAAACAAGTATCTTCAAAGTACACAACTTCTGCCTGCATTTTAAAGCACATTTATTTAATATATAAAATTCTTGAACTCTCCCACCCTTCACTTGCTATAGAATTGAAAATGTACCACACTGGTTTTGGTATATCACTGAGGACCCCAGAACTGTACACATCCCCTTTGAGAAATGTGGCATTTCGATATATTGCATCCTGTAATGGTCAGAGTTAATAGAGCTTCCCATGTTAAAGGATGAAGATCAAGGCACATTATTTGCCCTCTTACTCTCTCTCTCACCTCAAGGTAACCTGGGTCTGGTGCATTCTTCACTGCTTCATAAAGCTCTGCACCATCTTGCAGAGCATGAACTTGCTGTCTTGTTAATGCACGTGATGGTATATGTTGTTTTGTTGTGTTTTCTAGGGGAAAAAAACATCACTAATTAGCTAAACCACAAATTTAAGAAAAATGAAAATTAGAGAACCAAGCAAAAAACAGACGAAGAAGGGAGATTAAAAAATAAGAATCCATTTATCTGCTAAAAGTTTTCTAAGAAAATTTGAACGGGCCGGCCCGGTGGTGCACTCGGTTGAGTGCGGCGCTTGGGAGCGTGGCGGCACTCCCACCAAGGGTTAGGATCCCATATAGAGACCGGTCTGCTCACTGGTTGAGCGCGGTGCGGGCGCGATACCGAGGGTTGCGATCCCGTTGCCGGTCGCGGTATGGGTGTGACACTGAGGGTTGCGATCCCTCTTTACCGGTCACAAAAAAAGACAAAAAGGAGGGGCCAGCCCGGTGGCGCACTGGATAGGTGCGCCGCTTGGGAAGTGCAGCGGCGCTCCCGCCCGAGGGTTCAGATCCCACATGCAGACCGGTTCCCGCTCACTGGCTGAGCGAGGCGCGGGAGTGACACCGAGGGTTGCGATCCCGTTGCCGGTCCCCGGTCCGGTGCGGGGGCAACACTGAGGGTTGCAATCCGTTGCCGGACACGGAAAAAGACAAAAAAGACAAAAAGGAAAAAAAAAAGAAAAGTTGAAACTGGTGTTCTCATGGTTAAAAAAAAGTCACATGCAAAGTTTCCTAAACTTGTAAAATTAAATATAAGATTTCATGACTTACTTATTCATGAAAAAAGTATGTGCTAATGATAATTTTAAGTAAATATTTAGAAGTCCAATCTTTTGCCGATTTATATAGGACACAGAAGCTAAATAATATGGAAAATAACGAGGAAGTGCAAGAAAACAAAATCTTTCTCAACAAAAAAAGTTACATTAGAAAAAGTAAAAATTATGTTCTTCAAATATAAAAAAGCACTACAATCTTACTATCAAAATTGATGCCACAGGGATAACAAGTCCTACGTCCAGGTACAATAACACATAAAAACAAACAACTACAAAGACAAAAATGCAAAAATTATGTAGATAAGGACATGGATAAAAATGACAAATGGCTTAGGGAAAATAATCTGATAGTTTTCTCCTTTGTTGCTATTCTTCCTCTAATATCAAAAATGCTTTAGAACTAAAGGTTAAAAAGGAGTTTACTTAAGCCTTCTGAAAAGGCTATGGGTATATAATGTTTAATTGCCTGAGAAAATTAAAAATATCTAAAAGCTCAGTGTGTTGAACAAAGCCATGATAATTTGGGTGAGTCCAATGCTTATCTATACATCTGTGTAATATTTTTAAAAAATCAAAAAATTCAGATTCATGGGGCCAGCCCGGTGGCGCACTGCTACAGTGCGCCGCTTGGGAAGCGCGGTGGCGCTCCTGACGAGGGTTCGGATCCCACATATAGACCGGTTCCCGCTCACTGGCTGAGCGAGGTGCGGGTGCAGCACTGAGGGTTGCAATCCCGTTGCCGGTCCCGGTCCGGTACGGGTGCGACACTGAGGGTTGCGATCCGTTGCCGGACACGAAAAAAGACAAAAAAAAAGGAAAAAAAAAAATTCAGATTCAGAGTTGGAAAAATAATCTAATTATTAATCAAAGACAATTAACTCAATTACAAATGAGTTAGAAGCCTCTAAAACTTTGTTTTCATGTAAAAATAAAAATTTGTAATATACAACTCATTTTACCTTCACGCTCTTCAAATTCCGCTTGAAATGTAGTGAACAAGTCTTCTAGTTTCTTTTGTTGGGCCTCTGCATATTTTGCTGCTTCCTTTTCTTCTTCTTTTTCATTGCGAAATACATATAATCCAGATGATGCCTTCTCCATCCACTGTAATAATGTGTTACACAAAAAAAGCATGGTAGGGAGGGAACATTCAAATTAATTGTCTCAAAAGAAAGAAATACACGTAAATTTCAAGAATACATCATACCTGTACAGGGTATACTCTCTGAATAATTACATCAGCACAACCGATATTTCCCCCATCATTAAAAAGCGATGACAAGGGCAGAGGAAAAGGTCTAGGATCAGGAAAGAACCCAAGTTTGGCATACCAGCAGGCGGGCCGAGTACTGTTTGCAGAAATCTGTACAAATTAATGAATAAATCAATTTAGAGGTTAAATATATATTCAACTCTATTACAGATTTCATAAGAGTTTTCATTCTTTTAGAGCTGTTTTAAAAATACTTTTAAAAGTCTCATGAAGATTAGTAAGAAAGTGAGTAATTAAAAGGATTGTACAATAGTGAAAATATTTTCAAAATATAGTACTCAAAAATATTATTTATACTGCAATAAAACCTTAATGTTATTTAAGTATTCCTTTTAGAAAACAGATAACAGGGACTTTGACTTAAACATGACGGTACTGGACAGCTGCCAAAAAAACACTATGAAAAACCATGATGAATTAAAATATAAAAAATCTACAAGGACAGAGAGAACTATAGAGAACAGTAAATAAGATATCACCAAAATTTTGAAAGTTAAAAATTTGTTGGAGCAGTAAATGACAAAGCAGCCTGAGAAGGATTATTGCTAATAATAACAGCAAACATTCATAGAGGACTTACTGGGATGGATGTAACTGGCATGGTGTTAAGTATTTTACACATATTAACATTTAATCTCATAACAACTTATCCCATTTTACAGATGACAAAACTGAAGCAGAAGGGAAATTACATAACCTTCACAAGGTTACTCAGCTCCCAAACTTGTTGTAAGGAGCCAATATGAAACAAAATAATCATAGGAACACACTCAGAAATTAGAGGCAATAGGTACCTTTGAAGATAGGAGCATAATGTAGGGCTGAAAATAGGAAGAGTGGTTGAAATTCTGTATAAAGATAGTTAAGACCTCAGATTTCCTCTCCTATCCCAAGCAGCAAGGTGGCTGTCTTTCCCTCATACTAAAAAAAACCCCAGGAGACTTTCCTTTTTGGATAGGCTGAACCACACATATCCTGACTCTGGGACACTGGACAGAAGCAGCTAGGGTGGGGGTGAGATGCTATATTGAAGAAAAAACTGAAACGAAAAATCTTATGCTGAAAATGAGTCCCCCTATTAGTTTCCTTACTTTGCTCAGCTTTCAGAACAGACACTGATATTTCAGGGTCTCCTAATTAAAAATCCGAATCTCCACCTTATCATGCTATAACCCGACAAGCCCCACTTCACAAAGAGCTTCTAATCAGCTCATTGGTGCCCCTTCTCTTGAAGAGGAAAGAATAGCCAATAATCACCAGCTGAGGAAAATTCTCCAACCTGAGAGACCTAAACAGACAGAAAAATGGTTCTGAGAGGAAAAAAGTGCAGGGAGCAGAAAAAACTAAAATAAAAAATTAATAACTTCAGAAACACGAGAAGATGTATCTGTGAAACAAGAACTGGATGTGACAAGAAACTATTCAAGAAATAATAAAAGTCTCTTGAAAATTGAAAATTATGCCAGTAGACACAAATTCATTTTAAAGATCAGAAGAAAAAATTAAGGGCCGGCCTGGCGGCGCACTCGGTAGAGTGCGGCGCTTGGGAGCGTGACAGCGCTCCCACCGAGGATTCGGATCCCATATAGAGACCAGTCCGCTCACTGGTTGAGCACGGTGCGGGCGCGACACCGAGGGTTGCGATCCCATTGCTGGTCACGGTATGGGCGCGACACCGAGGGTTGTGATCCCGTTACCGGTCACGAAAAAAAGACAAAAAGGAAAAAAAAAAAAAGAAGAAAAAATTAAGAACTATCCTAAAAAGTCAGGGAGAAAGAAAACAAAATAGAAAACAGGACACAAGATGAGAAAACTAGAGAACCAATCTAGGAGGTCTAGTGTTCAAATAAGAGGACTTCCAGAAAAAAGAAGAGAAAAAATGGAAGGAAATTATCAAAAAAACACTTCAAGAATATTTCCCAGAATTCAATGAAGGACATGTATTTTCAGACTGAGTGCCACTGGGTACCCAGGACAATAATTAAAAAGACCAAAGTACCCCACTATGAAATTTCAGAATACTGGAAACAAAACAATCTTAAAAAACTTCTTAAAAACAGACCACATAATGAAGGACTGAGAATAAAAATAGCACCAAACTTAGCAGGAGTTATACCAGAAGCAAGAAGATAAAAGAAATATCTTCAAAATTCTTAAGGAATTACTTAAACACAGAATTCTATATTTAGCCAATAAGATCTCAAAAAACTGCCTGTTCCCTTTCTCAGTAAACCTCTGAGAGTTGTGTGCCCTCAGAACTAGGAAGTCTAGAAAGATGACATGAAATCTAGGAAGTAGAGGGTTGGCGGGTTAGTGTGCAGTGTTATAACACCAAGGTCAAGGGTTCAGATCCTTGTGCAGGCCAGCTGTGCCCCATCACCCCCCCCCAAAAGAAAGAAACAAAGGAAATAGGGCTTCTAACACAAAAAAGAAGTGAGAAGAATTCCCAGACTGATAGTTGTGCAGCATATATAAAAAATAACCACTTTAGAATGCAGCAGACGTAAGGAAAGGTCCAGAGGGTCTCCAAGAAAAAGAAGTGAAAACAATATAGATATTTTAACATATTGGGGAGGATTTTTATGGCTCCTGTGTTGGGAATGAGTCAGTGATAGGATACAGAAAATTAAGAAAAACAAAAAAGACAATAACTCCAGGGAAAGAAGTAAGTTGTAAGGAAATGTGATCATAGTATATTATGTGCTAAGCTGTGAAAAAAATTTTCAGTCATTAGAATGTAAACACTAAATACAGACTTCACTAAAAATTATGCTTTATTAGTATAAGGGAGACGGGTCAGGAGACGTATGCAGCAGTGTTAGTGTTGGAGCTAAATCCTCACCTCCCACAGCAGGAAGTTAACAGTACTTGTTTAAATTGAAGGGGAAAAGAAGACACAGCAGTTAAAAACAAAAGGAATAGCCAAAGGGAGCTCAAAGGTTGCCTCTGGGGAGCGTAAATGGGGGTGAGGAGGGTATACTAGGGACTGCTTTTTTTTGGTTATAAACCCTTTATCACTTGAGTTTCCAAATTACACACATGAATTAATTTGATAAAAACAAAACTAACAAACAAGAAAATGAAAGCCATTGCAACTTTGATATTCTAAGCAACAAAAGCCTGTCTCTGCTTGATGAAATGTTTTCAGTAAAGAGCAGCCCAATCATGGAGTTCATGACAAAATATCTCTTTACCTCAAAAATGTTTAATTTATAAAATGGTCTCCTGAATTAGGGAGATCCAGAATATAAAAGAAGTAAATTCTCCAGTTTCTGAATGTGAAATTTCTGATGCGATACTGCAGACCACTTGATATGACAAAGTCCTGTTATATAGTTTAAAATCTATATAGAGGGCCGAGCCCGTGGCGCACTCGGGAGAGTGCGGCACTGGGAGCACAGCAGTGCTCCTGCCGCGGGTTCGGATCCTATATAGGGATGGCTGGCGCTCACTGGCTGAGCGCAGTGCGGCCGGTCTCAAAAAAAAAAAAATCTACATAGAGATGAAATGTATATTATTATATATTCTACAAGCATTGAAATCTAAGTCTCTAATCACACTGGAAGAGAGATCTGATCAAGTAATCAGGGTGGAAGCAAAGCTAGAGGACAAGATGGTAGCAAGGGCTATAAGTACCAAAATTGAATACTGTATCTGATGCAAATTTACTCTTGCTCTTTCATTGGAACTGCATTATTTTAGGCATTATTTTAGTTCAAGAAATATCTCTGGCTCTCCCAAAAACAACACAAAAATTTAACTGTCTGAAGAATCTGCCTCTTACACTAAGATTATCAGTACATTTTCAAGAAATGTAGCCTCCTTAATAACATAACTCAATTTAAAATTTCTCTAGAATTTAACAGAATCAGTGAATGAATTTTACCAAGAGTGCGCATTAATTTAATTTACCTTTAACATAAGAGATTCTGGGGCTTCAAGAGGTGTACAGGCATCAGGAGAGCCCACCAGTTCTGCTCCGTGAGTAATAATCTTCTGACCCACAGTCAATCTACCGTTTTTTAAGAGAGCTAAGAGTGGAGGATCTAACTGGGCCTTAACAGCATACCATCCATCTGTAAGTTCAATAGTGGTCACTGTTTTGGTATCCACACTACTAGTTTTACTGCTAGAAGTTTCACACGTATTTGTGCTTGCTAAAATTATGTCAGAAACACAGAGAACAAGTGTTTTTGCAGGTGTGTCATCCCTTTCCATTATCTTTTTTAAAGCTGATCTTCTGTTTCTATCAATTTCCATATCATATCTAAAAATGAAAAGAAAAATGCATATTTTAGGAATTGTGATTCTTCAATTTCATTAGAAAAGTCACTGAATAATAGAGAAAAGTTAAATAAATTTATTGAATACTGAGACAGAAGAGAATTAAAAATTCTGTTGCTAGCAATACATCAAGTTTTATATTGTTAAAATATGAACACTACAAGCAAAAATATGCAAACATGCTTTATTAGCAATCCCTGCATAGTGGATCAAATTAGTAATTCATATTCTTCTCACATGCCAAGAGGTTGAGGAAGGAGTGGCAGAAGAGGGGAGCAAGAGGTGTAAGAACGAGAGGTCTCTCCTAAGTGGGGCCTGGGGGATGACAAGGGAACAGCTCTACACAACATGGACAGTAGTGTGGGATGGCAACTGTCACTGACAACCAGCTCCTGCACCATCTTTGACATGGAAGTCATAGATGGCCCAGAAGACTGAACCATACCACAGTATGTGATTACCTAATGTAATGCTATAAACTTGCCTGTATTTTAGTTGAAGAAGCACTGTTTCTGGGCTTAGACATCTATTAGCAAATTCCTTAGGAAAGGCAAATTCCATAGCTGCAAGTTTCCATATAATCCATCTATAGTGATTATAGACCCAAACTCTAGAAATAAGCTTTGGATCCACACCTGGGGTGTCACACAGAGCCCTGAACAAATAAAGGAAGAAGTAATATAATTTTAGAAAATTATTTAACATGTATCAAAGTATCATCCTAATCAAAACTCCACTTAAGGTAAAGGTCAATACAACTGTATTAGTCCATTTCTGTTGCTTATAACAAAATACATGGAACCGGGTGATTTAAAAAGCAAGAAATTCATTGCTTACAGTTTCTGAGGCTGGGAGGTTCAAGGTCCAGGGAACACATCCGGTGAAAGCTTTCTTCAGTGGAGACTTAAGTGTCAGCAGGGCATCACATTGTGAAATGGTGGCACACAGAGAGCAGAGACTAACCTCCTCATGTGCTCTCCTTTTAAAGCCCTCAAAACCATGCCCCTGACCACCATTGTTAATCCATTTACTATGGCATGGTCCTACAACCTAATCACCTCTTCAAGGCCCCACCTTTCAATTATTATAATAGGATTTCACACCCTCAACAGTCACAGTGGGGATTTAAGCTTCAATGAGGTTGCCGGGGTCATCCAATCTACAGCAACAACTATTTCAACTCATATATATTTGTTCCTGGAAAGTGAGATCCTTAATTTAAAATAATCTTATTTTAGATTATTTTTCTTATTAAAGAATTTGTTTTTAGAAATTATACCTGAGAACTCCCTTTCCTAGTCTTGGTGCTCTCCTTGATATCGTCTCCTCTCTTCTCAAATCTCTAACTCTTTCTCATTCTCACTCTTAGCACTACGATAACAGAATTAATCAGAAGAGAACTGCCATGAGCTTCCACCCTCACGTCTACCCACCCATGGCACATATATCCCTACACATTACCTTTTCCTGCCATTTCTACACTAGCTTCCCCCTGCTTGTTGCCTAATCAAGGCCACTGATCTAGGAAATGCCTCCTCTTCCTCCTGCAGCATCAATTGTTTCCCTCTCTACTGGACAATTTCCATCAGCATAAAAAGCAGTTTTTTTCCACCTTAAATCAAACAAGGTAGCCAAAACTAACATCTTCTTATCCTACTTCCTCCCCAGCTACTGCCCCTTTCTCTGCTTTTCTTTTTGGCAATTCCTGAATCAACTGTACTCTCTGTCTCCAGCTCCTTTTCTTCAACTGCCCTTTAATTACATTCTCATCAGGCTTTCACCTCACCAATCTTACTGAGGTATTTTTATTAAGGTTAGTAATGACCTCTACTGTGCTAAATCTAATGATCAATTCTCAGTCCTCATCTTACTTTTTACCTATTTGCAGCAACTGCCATAGCCTGTCATTCTCCATTCCCTGAAACTTTAACTTCAATTGGCACGCAACATAACACATGCTTCTGCATTTATCTCCAACTTTCTGGTTGGTCTTTCTCAATCTCTTTTTCATGGCTTTAAATTCCATCTATATGCTAATAACTCTCTCATTGGCTTCTTTGGCCTATACTTGACCTGTGAACTCCTGCATATCCAACTGCCTACCTAACATCTCCACTTGGATGTCTACTATCACATCTCAAGCTTACAAAGTCCAAAACTGAACTCTCAATTTCCTTCCCATCTCTGGTCTTCTCTCCTCTGGTAGAGTTACATGCTAACTCTATCCTTCCAGCTCCTAAGGCCAACATCTTTGGAGCCATTCTTAAGTCTCCTCTTTTCTCACACTCCACATCCAATCCTTGAACAAATCCTGATGGTGCCATCATCAAAACACACCCAGAATCCAACTGTTTTTCACCAACTCCACTGCTACCTCCCTGGAGCAAGCAACCGTCTCTCACCTGGATTACTGCAACAGCTTCCTAAGTGGTCTCTCTGCTTCCATCCCTGTCCCTCCCTATAGGCCAATCTCAACAAGTAACCAGAGTTATTTTTTCAAAAATAAGTCATATAGGTCACCCTCTGCTTTAAGCATTCTAATGGTTCACTCACAGTAAAAATTGTTAGACTAAAAGCCAAGGCTCTTATGAAGGTCTATGAGGTCCTACCTTCCAACTTCATCTACTCCTCCTCCTTTCTGCCCACTCTACTCCAGCCAAACCAACTTCCTTCCTGTTCTTCAAATGCTTTAAGCATACTCTCTGCTGAGGGCCTGGGACGCTCTCCATGGATAGTGCTATACTCACTCCCTTTACCTCCTTCAGGTCATTTATCAGATGTCACCAATTCTCTGAAGCCTTCCTAACCACGTACTTTATTTAAAAATTATACTTCTCACCCAACTTTCTCTACCACCTTTCTAGCTTTATTTATTTATCTCAATCTTTTAACGTGCTATACAAATTTACTATTTTTAAAATTTTTCTGTGTCTTCTACCCCCTCTAGAATGTATATCATAGTACTTATCTCAATCTTTTAACATGCTATACAAATTTACTATTTTTAAAATTTTTCTGTGTCTTCTACCCCCTCTAGAATGTATAACTCATCAGGGGAGGAAGTTTTTTGTTAGTACCTGGCACATAGTAGGTGCTTAATAAATATTTGTTGAATGATCAAACAACCAGTAAGAGCTTCAACACTCTAACTTTATGGACTCTGTCCACTGATTACATGGTATCTCTCTCAACCTCAACATCATGCAGTCTATTTAGTACAAGAAAATAACACAATTGTTTTACCATACTTTCCCTACTAGAATCTTTTGCAGATTTTCTTATGTAAGACATGGGCAAGAAGCAAATAACATTCCTCTTTAAAAGTACTCCAAAAAAGTTAAAATTTCAGGAAAAAATGTTTTACCACTTTTCCCAAAACTATAAATTTTGGAAAGATGTACAGAGATTTTTAAAAATAAGGACACTGGAGAAAGAATTCCCATCTCCAGCTGTTGGCATAAGGTAATACATCCCTGATAGCAAAAATTTCTAAATTATGTTTATGTAAACATTACAATCAAAAGAGGTTACACAGTTTCTCAGTTGTTGATGTTTTAGGGCACTGGGATTTTCTAGTTATTTGGTATTACTGATATTTAAGCATTTTTCTTTTAAACTTTGTTTTATATTTTATATTTATTAAAATACACAATAAAAGAATATGACGTAACTCTGTGTGTGTGTGTGTGTGTGTGTGTGTGTGTGTTTGTGGAGTCTACCATAAGGTCAATTAAAATTTAACGTTTCTTATTATATTTTATATTGAAAATGACTAAGAAAAATGTCGCAATTTAACAAAACCCAACTCATTAAATTCATTTTTGAAAAGATTTCAACGCAATGCCCACCGAACCACAACGCACTCAAAATGACTCAATGTATAAAACTTTGACTGCTAGCCAACATTTTAGTTCATGAGACATAGGAAAGAGAAGAAGGAATTGTGAAGAAGAGACGGAGAGTGGAATACATAAAAGTTAACAAGAAATTTATTTTTATGTACCTATAAAATTCTTCTTTTCCAGCCTTTCCATCATTGGAGGGTATGAGCCATCCACCATCAGCCAACTGTATTCCCTTTCCAACCAATAAACATTTCTTACCAAAATAATCCTGAGTGTGAAACTGAAAAGATTCTGCATTTTTGCTGTTGATTTTTACACAATGTTTAGAAATGCCATACATATATAGCTGCACAAAATAAACAATAGAAAAATTTAATAATGGATTAGAAATAAAATCAAAGTGAAGGTTTCATAGAATAAAAACAATTGCAACGAACCAAAATGAATTTACAAAAATTTTCCATTTAAACACTAAAATACTCACTATAAAAATTTTAACTCATTTACTAGAAGCTAAAAATGTTAATGTACTATAAATGAGCCATACACTCAAGAGTCTGCTACACCTTTTTCCCCTGTGTATATGCCTCCTGCTAAATCTACCATAGGAAGACATTGTGAGGATTAAAAAAATATTGTAATGTTTTATAAAATCTCTCAATGTTCAAAAATTTAGAAGGGAAAAAACAGGGAATAGTGTAAGTATTTTAGGGAATGACCTCAGGGGGTCAGATTTCTACACAAGCCTGGCCTACTTACTGTCAAGGTGCTTACTTCCACCCCAGTGTGCCTGATCCAAAGTATCTTTTGATTGCTTTGAAACTGTGGCTCTTCCATCTTGCTAGTTAAGAGAGTTTGCAGCAGTTACTTAACATTCTCCAGCACTCTCGTTTGCAAAATGATGTACAAAATAATGGTGCCTTTCTTTCAGCGTGGTTGTGATGATTAACTGAGATATAATCAATGCATGTAAAGTGCTTAGAAGAGTGCCTAGCACATAGAAATGCTCAATATATCTTAGCTATTAATATTGCCAATATTATTTTCACCTTTCCATTGCCTAAAATTCTACCTAGATAGTAGTGGCTTAACAGGACTCCTCTTTTAAAAATGTAAGTAGCTCTTAGAACGTTCAGGGCTTTCAGTTATTCGTATTTTAATTTCAATGAGACTACTTTCTCTAACACCTAGCTGAGAGCACTTACAGTGACAAAGTGGCTTAACAGGACTCCTCTTTTAAAAATGTAAGTAGCTCTTAGAACGTTCAGGGCTTTCAGTTATTCATATTTTAATTTCAATGAGACTACTTTCTCTAACACCTAGCTGAGAGCACTTACAGTGACAAAATGAGTCAGATTTGAAGGGGGAAGAGAAACAGTAATTCTGAAGCACAGATCACTTTGGTAAGATAAGGCCTCGCAGAGGAGAGGGAGGCTGCCACTGTAGGCTGACCAGGAAGCATGAGGATTCTATTCATCCATTCCTGCAGTATTTGTTCATTCTTTAAACAAAACAATTTGCAGATACTACTTAATAAAACAAAATTACACTTTACTATAAAAGCTTTTAGTATCGTAGACAAAAGCATACCTGTTTATGAGAACACGCAGAGGGAACTTGGCCTGCTACTGCTGCTTTCAGAGAGATTCTAGGCAGAGTCGATGTTTTCGCAAGATAGAGACTACCTGGCTGCGGAAAGACACGTTGCCTTTGTTTCTTTTTAATTCGCATATCCTGTATATCTCTGGCATTCTGAAGACTTGTAATTAAATCTGTTGAAAAATAAATAATTGGCAAAAAAATAAGGGGTTGCCCTGCTTTATAACATTATATATATCAATTTGCAGCAATTTTACATGTAGGGAAAAAGGGGGCTGGGCCCCTCCCCCTTTTAAATCTTCATGGATGAAAAAAGTTTCAACTTGTAAAGTTGTATAAAGAATAGAAATTTATTTTTATCTCAATTTTGGGAGAAAATTAGTAACATGATAAAAATATATATTCCAGTAATAGCAGTCCTAGGTTGTGTGTCTAATAGTTTTAACAAGAAAGTCCACAAGTAGTTATCTTTGAAAGAAAATATTAGAATAATTTAAACCTAATCTTTGGATTTAGAAGATATAAAGCATTAAAAAAGGTTTTGAAATTACTAATCACCACACAAAAGGAGAAAACCCTCAGGACATTATTTCATAAGGGAAGGATCTGACCAAAAGGCAAAAATGTGTCACACAAATTGTTGTACAATACCTAAAGGTTCTTCTTCACACTTAGTGAAAATTATACTTGCTGCTTGATTGTTGTTGTTTTTGTTAAAATGATGACTCTCATTGTCATTAATATTATTTTCACTATCATCAGTGCCATGTTTATCTATGTTTTTTTGTTTTTGTTTGTTTTGCTTCAAATTAACATTCCTGCTAACATACTGTTCATCTCCATGAAAATGTGATTTAGTTTTAAAAGGTGGAACAAAGACTTTGGTCGGTTTGCCTGTCGTTATTGAATGTTTCATTTTTTCACATGTAGCAGGAACTTTATAACATGGGTGCCTTGAAACTGATAAATTGCTTGAAGATTTTTCCATAGACAGGTGTTCATAAAAATGAGATCTGGACAGAAATTCTTGACCAGGCACAGTAAAATTTGGATTCCATATTTCTTGCTGTTCCTTAGCTGTGCTACAATGGGGAGAAAATATTTACATTGATTATTTACCAGTAAATGTACACATATGAATGTTTGAGAATATGACTTTTTTGCAGGCCCTCAATCGCTACCTGGCAATCCTATTCTGTAACTGTTTTGGGTTCATCATGGTTGCCATGCCAAAATAAGGCCCGCACTTTTGAAGGCCATCACTGTTTCTCACACACACATTCCCAGCCTTTGACTTTCCAACCTGCTTCACAGAAGAGAAGAGGGTCTATCGAACATGGACTCTCAGTGTATGTCCCTCCAATTCCATCACAGTACTTCTTACTTACCTCCTTTACCAGGGAAATATCTACCCATCCTCCTCTCTATGGCTCACATCTTCACCTGAACTCGGACCCATCTAATAACAGTCTTTCAATCTATTCCACTTCTCTCCCTTCTCTCCTCCATCTGTTCATAACTTTTTAGTGCCCCCTTCAATTTATCCCCAAACCCTGTCCCTTCTTAAAACCCTTTTCTCAGCTTTATCTCCATTTCAAGCTAATATTCGTTGTTACCTACCCTCCCCAGTCAACGTTCTAGAACAGGTAATCTAGACTAGATATATTCACTTCCTCAACTTCCACTCAGTGAACTCTCATTTCTCCCACTACTCTACAGAAATTGTTCTAAATAAAGGTGCTCATGACCTCTTAAATGCATGCACTGCTTCTTGTGTAAACTTGTCCTCCTCTACCTTCCTGACAGCTGTGACAGTTGACTTTTTCCTTAAAATTCTCACCACCACTGTTGCTCTAACCATTTCTTCTGTTTCTTTTACTGGTTTTCCCTCTTCCTAATTCCTAAAAACACTCATGTCTTCAGGGTTGGGTTTCTTCCCCAGACACTTTCCCTGGCTGATGTTATTTCCATTGCTTAAATTACCATTCATCTAACAATAAAAATATCCTTTATTCTCATGCCTGACTTTCCCCCTAGGTTTTGTTCCATCATTTTAAACTGCACATAGCATTAGACATCTGTACCTTGATGTTCCACACTCATCTCAAACTTAATATGTTCAAAATTAAATTCACTGCCTTCCCCAGAATACACACTATTACTAATACTTGATATCTTGTTGAAAACCCGACTTCCTTTTACCAAATCCTGAACACCTGGAACTTGAAGTTAACCTAGAACTCATTTAGTTATCAAATAGTTAATGAATTCCTACTGTGTGCCAGGAACTGTTTCGCTGGTGCATACAGTGATGACCACATCAAAATTATAGTTTGTACATTCTAGTGGAGACAAACAGACAAGCAAACAAATATGTTAACTGGCCTAGACACAAGTGTGCCTGGAGCAGAGACAGCAAGGGAGAAGTCAGAAAGTAAGACTGGAAAGGTAGCAAACGGGCCAGATGATGGAGAATCTGAAAACCATGGTAAGGGCTTGTATTCTGAGATAAAAGCCATGAAATAATTCTGAGTAAAGAAATGACATAATCTGCCTTACGTTTAAAAAGATACCCTAACTTCTTTGTTGAGAATTCACTAGGTATGGGAGTGGGGGTAGAACTAGTAGCAGGGAGGGGCCAGCCTGGTGGCGCACTGCTACAGTGCGCCACTTGGGAAGTGTGGTGGCGCTCCCGCTGAGGGTTCGGATCCCACATACAGACCGGCCGCTCACTGGCTGAGCGAGGTGCGGATGCAACACCGAGGGTTGCGATCCTGTTGCCGGTCCCGGCCCGGTGCGGGCACGACACTGAGGGTTGCGATCCATTGCCGGTCACGAAAGGGGACAAAAAGGGAAAAAAAAGAACTAGTAGCAGGGAGACCAGTCCCATTGAAATAATCCTGTCAGTTTCTGGAGGCTTGAACCAGAGTGTCAAGAGTGGGAGTGGTGAGAAGTGACTGGATCTTGAATATATTTTGAAAGCAGAGCTGTTAGACTTTTACAGGAAAACAGATTAAGGTAAGGGACATAAGCTTTGGAAATATTAAGTTTGAGATGCCTATAAGTCATCCAAATACAAATGTCAATCAGGCAGCTGGATGAATGACTATGTTGTTTAGGAAAGAGATCTGTCTGGGCTAAAAATAATTTAGGAGCCATCAGCAAATAGATGGTATATAAAGACTGGATGGGATCACTAGAGAGGAAGGGTAGGAACAGAAGAGGTCTGGAGCTAAACCCTGGGTGACTCTAACATTTAGTGGTAGGGGGAGAACCAGCAAGGGAGACTGAGAAAGAACAGCCAGAAGGACAGGAGGACAGATAAGAGTGATGTCCTGGAAGACAGAGTAAATAAAGTGTTAAGAAAGCAGGCGCAGTTGTGTCAATGCTGCTCACAGGTTAATGTGAGGATGGACAGCTGACAAGATACGGTAATGTGTAGGGACTTGGCAATCTTGATAAAAGCTGGTGGGTAGTGATAAAAGACTGACTGGAGTGGGCTCAGGAAAGCATGAGAAGAGATGAAGTAGAGCAATCAGCAGAGACAATTCTAATGAGCTGGACCTTAAGGGGAACAAGGAAATGGATTGCTGGGATTAGAGTGGTCAAGAAAGACTTTTTGAGAAAAGAGAGTTACGGCAACTGCTTACACTACTGGGAATAATCCAGTAGAGAGAAAAAAATTAACGATGCAAGAGAGGGGACAAATGCTGGATTGATTTCTTTGAATAGGTGATCTAGATGAGATATAGTATACAAGAATGAAGAAACCTTCTGTTCTAAAACTTCTTTTCATTAATCTTCTTTTATTCCTTTGTTTTTAAATACTAAGAATACTGTAAAAATGAGTTTGCTTTGCAGGCTATGCTCAAGATGTTTATTTGAATATAAGTGGAGATAATTTGCCACTCTCAATCACCACCTGGCCAAATCTATTTGAATTTATCTGGCACTCATTCCCTACTCTCTACTCTACCACCTCTGCTAGGTTGAGACCTTTACATTCGTATTAATCTCCTTGCATCAGTTTTGCTTCGGTCTATTTGTAAAACACAAATCTGGTTATTTTGTTTCTCTTAGAAACTTCCAAAGACAACCCATCACTAATCTAGATTTGGACTTATCTGAAATGACATACAGAAGGCTTCCTATTTGGTCCTAACCTCCCCATTTCTTTTTGTTCCCTCCCAGTCTTGCCAACTCCCCTAACTACACCCACAAAACCCCAAGATGAAATTCGATGTACCAATCATTCATTCACACCTAAACTCTCAGCTACATATATAAATATCTTTTCATACTGTTTATAAATTACAATTTTGATTTCTTAGAAAAATTTTTTTTCTCCTTGAATAGTGCTTAAGTTTTCATTAGTTTTTGATTATTTTATTTTTACTTTTGCTGATGTCTGATAATCTTTGGATACCTGTTCATATTTAAGAGTGGGGAACCAAAAAAAAAAAAAAAAGCTGTTTGGAAGCTCTTGGTGCAAAGATGGGACTTGCTGATTGTAAGCTACACTGTAGATTGATTAACTGTGGAAATTTCAAATTGTGAAAACTTAGCTGTCATGGGCCGGCCCGGTGGCACACTGCTACAGTGCGCCGCTTGGGAGCGTGGTGGCTCTCCCGCCGAGGGTTCGGATCCCACAAACAGACCGGCCGCTCACTGGCTGAGCGAGGTGCGGGCGCAACACCGATGGTTGCGATCCCGTTGCCGGTCCTGGTCCGGTACAGGTGCGACACTGAGGGTTGCGATCCGTCGCCGGTCACGAAAAAAGACAAAAAAAGGAAAAAAAAAAACCAAAAAACTTAGCTGTCTACCTTCTAGAAGCTGAGTGCGGGAAATCCTCAACATTCAGTATGCATACATTAACTTATCCCCGTTTTCAGTATATTACCTTTAACTGTGCCTAGTGTGTTCACCAGTAAACACCCTATTGTATCCTCTTTGTAGGAGAATAAATCTCTAGTCTTTTGTTAGAGTGGGCAAGAGGTGGTTGCCCAGTTTCAAGGAGGGAAAGAGTGGATTTGATTGCTTCTTAAACATATTTTCAACTTATCGTGTATTTCTATTCTGGCTCCCTCTTCCTTCATCACCCAATTCTGAAGACACATGGAATCACCATTTCCTGAGCTTTTGAGACTTTACTGTGAAATGGTTGGTCCCCAGTACCAGCTTTTTTTTTGGTGGCTGGCTGGTATGGGATCCAAACCCGTGACCTTGGTGTTATGAGACAGAAGGTGCTCAGTTTCCAAGGGTCTGGGTTTTCAGCTACTCTCTTGGGTCTCACACTACTCTCCTAGGACTCAAACTCCACCCGAGTCCAAAGCTATGGTGGCCTGTGGCCCCTATTTTTGATACCAGCAAGTAGAGACTGAGACTACAGGGGGCAGATTTAGATAATCTCACTGAGCATGCTCAGTAAAAAGGAGTTTATGCCTTAAATTGCCTTCCACTGGAGGAAATAGAGAGCACCTAGAATATTCTGGGTATATTTGATGCATGTGATGGAATTTAACCAAGCATGCTCTGAAAGAGACCAACTGAGCATGTGCAGGATTAGGTTACATAAGTGGGAACCACCCTCTTAGTTGAATATTCATTAGATAGCATGAAAATGTATCAGACAGCAAAACTATAAAAGCTGAATTCCAATTGAAGGCGGGTTGTCGCTCACTTTCCCTGGAGCCCAGCCACACTTTGCTGGCAAGGTGTATATGCTTTACTTTTGCATCAAACCTACTTTTAATGGGCAGCTGTTCACTCTCTAGAGCCAGCCTACACTTTGTACTAATCTTTAAGTGTGTGTTTCTTACTTTTGTGTTAAACTTGTGGAGTGGGACCTGCTCAGTCTCTGGAGCTAGCCTGCACTTCCCTTGTGAAGTCTGTACTTCTTATCCTTTATATTAAACCTCTTCTCACTTCCTACTGTAACTCTGTTCTTGAATTCTTTCCTGTGGTGGAGTCAAGAACCTGGTAAGAGAATGGGGTGGGTTGAGGCCAGTTATCGGGCCTCCCAAGACCCTCTCCTCCAGTATCAATAACACCATGCTCTAACCAACTGAGCAACTGGCCAGCTGCCTCCCACGCCCCCAGCTTTGAATGTTTTCTCTTGCATACTTTGAAAAATTCAGTTACTGTGATCTCTCTTACTCTCCCAGTCTTTGTGTGTGTGTAAGCTCCTTCACTGTTGTTTTGGTAAAATTTTGGGTGGCAATGAAAGTAGATGAGTATGTTCAACTCTTCGTCTTTACCAAGAAGTTCTTAATACATTAAAACACTCAGATACTGCTTTAACTTTATCTTGTAGGCAAACTCTCCCAGGGCTCTATTTTTCTGTTCCAAAGTGTAGTCAAGCTGCTTTTCTAGACTTAGCAACAGCTATGATTCTGGGATCTCCCTTTGGTTATCATCCTTAGGACTCCCTTTGCTTCTCTCCTATGCTGAATTCTTGTTTCTTAAGTCCCATATCTTCCTCCTTCCTGACTTATGCACTTGTTTTGGGTTAGCTTCCTGAGAAGACCACACAAGAGATAAATCTTTTGGTACTTTGCACCCAAAAAATGTCTTTCCTCACACTTAATTGATATTTTGGTTGTTGCTAGGATTCTAGGTTGGAAATCATTTTCTCTCAGAATCTTGAAGGCATTGCTCTGTATTATACATTTTAGGATCTATAATCTTCTAGCCTCCACTGTTAAAAACATTCATACCATTATCACTCAAAACTATTTGAAATCTGATCCCCGCCCCCCAAGAATTTAAGGTTCTTTTCTGTCCCTAGTATTCTAAAATTTTACAAGGATGGGCCTTAAAGTGGGTCATTTTTATTCATGTGTTCACTCAGTAGGCCCTTTTGTTTTTCTGATGGCTGGGGCTGGCTGGTACCGGGATCTGAATCCCTTGACCTTGGTGTTATAACACTGCTCTAACCAACTGAGCTAACCAGCCAGTCCCTTCAGAGGGCCCTTTTAATCAAGAAAAGTCGTGTCCTTCAGTACTGGTAAGATGTCTTAAATTATTTTTTTTTAATTTCTCTTTCTTCATTTCTCTCTGTTCCTTCTTTCTCAGGCTCTATTTTCAGATGTTAGATCCACAGGACTGACTTTCTTAATTATCGTTTCATTCCTTTTTTCATTTCTTTTTCATTTTGTTTTATACTGTGGAAACTTTCATGACTTTCATCTTCTATTATGTCTACTGAGTTAATTTATTTGTGCCATCATATTTTTAATTTCTAAGAGCTCTTTTTATAACAACTTGTTATTTTAAGGCTGTAACATCTTTCTTATAACTGAGAAAATTGCTAAGTTTTTTTGAAGTTTTCTTCTTGCACAGTCTATATCATCTAAGTTCCCCTTTTTATTGCTCTGGTTTTGCTCCTTTGGTTACTATCTTTCACAGTGGCTTTCTTCCAATGCCTAGTGGTCCTTGATTACCTGTTCCTATTTAAAAGTGAAGCACTAAGTAGCTGGCTGGAAGCTCTGTGTGCTGGCAGGGCGTGTCAATTGCTTGCTTCACTGTCTGATGACTGGCTATGCTGTTTCAGTTCAGTTCCTCAACTGTTAGTATTTTTAGGTCTTTTTTAATGGGTTGGTCATATTCTCCAGAAAAAAAAATCTTCCAATCTCCTGCCTAAAGGGGCTGGCTGCCAGCATTTGGGAGCCAAGTGTGGGAAGGCAGCTAGGGAGTCTCACTGCTTGATATACAGGTTTTTACTTAATCTGTTTTCAGTACCCTTACTCCAACTGTGCCTGGTATCCCCCTCCCCCCAACCTACCCCCAATTTAGAATCCTCCTAATTCATCTTTTCCAAAGAATAAATTTTTGGTTTTCTGGGGGAAGAGGGATAGCTGCCTATCTGCAGTAAGGTCCAGAATACAGATGCTTCTTAAACAGAATTTCAGCTATCTACCTACTTTCTATCTCACCTTCAGAAGTACATGGTGCTACCAATTTGAGTCTGTCTTAGATTCTTTAGGAGAAATTGGGGAGCTTCTCTCCTTGCTGCAATGTCAGGTTTCAGCTTTCTCAGGCTTGCTAACTCATTCATGTTTTTTGCTTCCACACTTTTGTTTTGGTTTGTTTCTTGTGATCACTGTCTTTGGGAATTAGTAATTTCAGTAAGGTTAAAAGAGGTAAGGAAGATAAAAGGAAATTTTCAATATCTGCCATCTTTTTGTAAATTGGTTTTGAGCAATTTCATAATCCCTCTCAACTTCAGTACTTCATCCATGAAATTGGAATACAATCTGTTTTTGTCTACTTTACAAAGCTGTCATGAAACTAAATATTTAAATAATGATATGAACAGCAATATAAAATACTACTAAAGTACATATTTTTTTCATCCTGACACAGGCTTTCGAAAAGGGAAATGTTAACTTCTTTACTTCATTTTAGTGCCATCATTTTAAGAAATACCGATTTAAAAAAAAAAACAACACACTTTTCCTACGCTATATTGGTAGAATTTTAAACAATTTAAACATATCTTACCAAAAGGGTCCACAGGTAATTGGCTCTAAAGAAATGTGATGCATAAATAATCTTCTATCTTTTATTGTGCCTTAAAAACAAAAAAAAATTAAAATTACATATTAGTGAAAATCTAACAGAAGATTTTATTTCCTATTTCTGTTTATTACACGTTTTTGTAAATATTTACACAAAAATTTGAGAATTATAGACTTTAAAATTCTCAATGCATATGATGAATGCTTGGTAAATGATAGCTAACAAAAGAAATGCTTGATTCGCAAATTGATAATCACTAAATACCAATTAATTCACAGTACAAACATACAAATCAGTATAAATTTAGCCAGTTGATATTAAAAATCACAACACAAAGATGTTAGCTAATTGCTAATGAAAATATCAAATTTAACATTTAGTTTTATGAAGGCTTAGAAGATAAGCTTTGGATATTCATTCCTAGTCTATATATTGTACCTATCAAACCTTCAATATATAAGTCCATTAGTTGGGGACTGGCTGAATGACTAGGATACAATGATACAGCCACACGATTAAGTACTATATATTCATTAAAAAAAATGAAGATCTCTATACACTCATTAAGGGGTGATTTCCACATAAATTCTTAAGTGAAAAACAACAACCAGCAAACAAGATGCAAAATAGTGTATATTATCTCTTTTGAGTAAGAAAGAAAGGTAATGAGAACATATATACACATACCTTGCTTATTTTTACAAAAAGAAATCACAAATGGATAAACCAAAAACTATTAAAAATGGTTACCTACAGTAACAAGAGCAAGAGGTGGGGAAAGTGGTAAATAGTATGAAGGAGACAAGGATGGAATCAAGACTTCTCCAAGGATACCTTTCTATAGTTTGATGCATGAACTATGTAAATGTTTTATTTTTTCAAATATAAAATTAAATAAGAAAAAGCAAATCCTAAAATTAAAAACCAATAGAAACAAATAAGTCTGACCTAATTATCAAATTGGTAATCACATGCAGAAGAATTATTTTGAATGAATTTGAACATAGTACCTTTGACTACACATCCTTAATGATATATATTCTAAGGAAAAAAACTGCAAAAAATTCTTAAATTTCCCTTAGTAGTTTCATTGTTAGTAGTTAATATTGATATTGAAAATTTAAACCTATTATGCATACACTGTAGGACAGTGATTCTCAAAGGAGGATCTGTGGGACCCTGGGAGGGGGGGGAACACACAACCCTTTTAGGGGATCGCAGTGGTCAAAACTGTCTTAATAATAATACTAGGATGCTATATATGTCTTTTTAGCTGTGTTGACATCTGTGCTGCTGGTGTATTCTGCTGCATACTTTAGTGCGATGATTGTCTCAAGAAAATGCACATATATGGTTCAGTTGTGAGCTGCGCTAGCCATTTTTTTTAATGGATACCATTTTTACTTGTAATAACCAACAAACTATAGTTATTCAGACTTTGTTATTCAGCAGGCTTTTTTTACTGAATGAAATGAGCTTGTCATTACAAGGAAAACAAATAATATTTGTTGCCAGTGGTAAAATTCAAGCTTTCAAATGAAACTCAGAATTTTGGGAAGCATGTATCTGGCTCTGTAAGCTTGACAGCCTTCCAATACTCAGACTTTTCAGATTAGATCAGTGATGACATGGACAAAAGTGACTGTTTAATATTGTGTAATAAAATTATCAGTTTTTGGAAGAACTGCATAACTCAGCCAACTAATATTTCCCAAATGATCAATCCACAATGTACAAATATTAAAATTTATCAATTTTAATTTCTGACATAAATATCAATAGATATAATCCACATAAACAAAT